TTATGAAAAGTCAACTGAATGCAATGAATGTAATGCAGTGATCCGAATGAAGTGCAACGATGGATTGATACGATCAACTATGTGGCGGCAGCGTTCTCGTCACCGGCTCTGCCAGCGCCAGTGTCAAACGATACGAGCGTATTCCATAAGCCACTCCTTCCGTCGGCACCCTCCAAACTCACCATCACCGAACAGCTGCGTGCACACGAAGGAAAAGAACTGGAAGTGCGTCAAAGACTCGAAGAGTTGATGAGACAAGGTCCACCGTTGAACACAAAAGGATCGGCCGTCTATGATTTCTTCTATAAAGAACGTTATCTTTATCAAGAGGTGCGTACTTACTTCTAATTTGTTTTGTATTGTCAAGCAAAACATTTATTTGTATCGTAATTTCAGCGTGAACGCTACGAGCTGTACGTGTCAGTACTACGCAGTCGTCTGAGTGCGCTGTCACCGTCGAATGCTCACAACTGTTGTTGTAGTGGAACGGCACTGGCAACGAGCAACAATAATTGTAACGAGCTGAGAGTGTGCGATAACGAAGCGTGTGCAAGCAACAATCACCAACCGAACACTTCATATCACCTCAAAACGGATGTGGTCAGAGAAGAGCCCGAGGAGTTGGTGGACGCTCGTGAAGACGAGACTGTTGCCGTTGGCTCTTCGTCAGGCATCTTGTCGACTGCATGCCAACTTCAGAAGTCGAGTGATGATTTTTTGGTTGCATTAACAAATGCCACTAGCACTAAGGATAGTTCTGAAGCAGATAGTTCAGATCGAATCAGTTACAAAGAAGCGATCATGTCAAGTCCGAATACTCTGAAATTGAACGATAGTACTGATGCATCTCAGTCATGATCGTCCGTTTCATTATTGAGCAGTTATCATTAACTGATGAAGTTTGTTTACATTATAGTGTAGATGAGAACTTACTGTTAGGTTACGGTTGCACTCAATCAGAGAATATTATTTCTTTGGTTATGTGGTTGTCTTTTTGTGAATCTCCATTGTCAACTTATTTTTTGGTGGAATTTGGGTCGATGTCATTAACAGTTGAAATGAGCGTATTCTTTTTGATATTGAGGTCCATTTATCGGCAATTTCATGGGTTTCCCACGAGAACAGTTTAGTTGCAAGTATGTGGGCGTCATTGATTTACTGAGTGACCATTGAAATACTAGTAATAATGATAATAGTAAAGTTGTAATAATAATAATCGATCTGAAATAGTAATGTAATGTGAAACATATTGTTTTTCAAGTTTGAAATGAACTTTTGCTCATTCGATAACCGTTGTTGGAGCATATGAACGCGAATGCATTTTTCGCTTCTCTAAATTAGTCTGTTCGCATGGAAAGGATGTAATTTCATGTTGAAATATTCTATTGTATCGCAACAATCGTGCGCAAGTCTAGTTCATTTGATGTTGTCATTCGATGTGCATTGCAGCACCGCGCTTACGTTATTTCAGTGTGATATTGCGATTTGATATTAGCAATTATTCATTGTATTAATGTAGAATGCAAACTGTTGCAGGTGTGATTGCATGTTGTTATTATTAGGAGTGTGGCCACGAAATCTCTTCGTTTTGATGCATCCCAATCTCGTAAAAACTCGGCACTCGTTTTCAAATTCTCATCACCCAACTTAGTATTTGTGTGCATAATTAATTCTGTTTCGGTGTTACGGGTTCTTTGTTGTTTTTCTCCTCATTCATTCAAGAATTTCTTCGCATTATTTTCATCATCATCATCATCAACTCAATTCGTTTGTCATGGCTCGATTGTTTGTTTTCAGTTGTGCTGCTATATTCCCTCTCTTAATCGTTTACTTTCTCCAATC